AACTTATTAAAACCAAACAAAACAAACTTTGTAATATAACATATTATCAATTGCCTGCATATAAACAAACAATTCCATCTCTAGTATGGAATGTTTATTCATGTTACTAATAAAACTTCACCTTGTAAAGTTCACAGTTATTCTTCTAGTCAGCTTTGATGGTTGATGCTGTTACTCCTGCATTCAAATTCTTTGAAAACATCACTGCCAAACCACTATCATTTCCAATGTATCATGTAAGAAGTCTAAAAAAATCACAAAGTAACCCCTCCACACTTGTGACTAGAGGCTAGATAGTAAAATGGAATTTTTCCTGTAGTCAAAATGGTATATCAAAAGATTACACTTTGGGTTGCAAAATAAAGTTCTGTTCTTGTTTTGGTCTTTATCTTAGTAATTACTTGGCAAAACTCTCTGGGCACCTTCTAGTATATCAGTTTTTGTCACTTCAGGAAGATGTATGATTTAGAATCTTTCAGTAAAGGGCATGATTTTCTAATGCAGTGAAAAATGAGAATGTTTGTCCTGTTTTAACTGTAAACAAATGGTGGTATTTATGATCAAGTCTGCAACTTAATAAAGAATAGAAGAAGGCCCCAAGCACACTTACAGTCATGGCCACAGTTGGCCTTCCTTGCTCTTTATCAGTTCAGCTACAATGGCTGTCAAACGAGTTGACCATACTTGCAATAGCTGCTAAGGACTCAGTGCTAAGAGGCTTAAAAGTTTCTACTGAATATTTTTTTTAATTTAAAAATATTGCTCTTTTCAGTGTTTGAGGCAAAGTTCATGCCATCATTCCAAAGCCTTGGCTCCATTCCAGGGTATAATTCATAAAGAAAAGGTGTTTGAAACTCTATTTTTATTATCTATTTTTATTGTTGTTCAAGTATAGTTGTCTCCATTTTCCCACTACCACTTTCCTCTGCCCCCCCCCAACCCCACCTCCTGTCCTCAATCTTTCCCCTCTTTGGATTTACCCATGGGTCCTTTATACATGTTCCTTGATGACCCTTCCACCTCTTTCCCTGTTTTCCCCCTCCTCCCTTCCCTGTGGTTACTGTCAGTTTGTTCTTAATTTCAGTGTCTCTGGTTATATTCTGCTTGCTTGTTTGTTTTGTTGATTAGGTTCCACTTACAGGTGAGATGAGACCGTATATGTCTTTTACCATCTGGCTCATTTCACTTAGCATTACACTCTCCAGTTCCATTCATGCTGTCTGAAAGGGTAGGAGATCCTTCTTTCTTTCTGCTGTGTAGTATTCCATCATGTAAATGTACCATAGTTTTTTAATCCACTCATTTACTGATGGACACTTAGGTTGCTTCTAGCACTTGGCTATTGTTTTTCCTGCTATGAATTTTGGGGTACATAGGTTTTTTTGGTTTGGTGTTTCAAGATTCTTAGGGTATAATCCCAGCAGTGGAATTGCCAGATCAAAAGGCAGTTCCATTTGTAGTTTTTTGAGGAAATTCCATACTGTTTCCCACAGTGGCTGCACCAGTCTGCATCCCCATCAATGTACTAGGGTTCCCTTTTGTTCATAACCTCACTAGCACTTGTTTGTTGATTTGTTTATGATGGCCATTCTGACTGGTGTGAAGTGGTATCTCATTGTGGTTTTAATTTGCATCTCTCTGATAGCTAGTGATATTGAGCATCCTTTCATATGTCTCTGGGCCTTCAGCATGTCCTCCTTGGAGAAGTGTCTGTTCAATGGAACAGAATAGAAAGCCCAGGGGGAAAAAAACATGTCTCTATGATCAATTAATATTTGAAAAAGGGGGCAGAAGCATAAAATGGTGTAAAAATACCCTTTCAACAAATGTGTGAAACTTTTTAAGTGTAGTTATATCCATGATTTGAAGGATCAGTAATATTCTATTTTTTTTCCACAGGACCTAGCAAGTGTCTGATATCTGGCAAGCAATCATACATATTTAATGAATTAAATCAATTAACTGGTGTGAAGTTTTCTTAGTGAAGAATAAATGCATGCAAGTCTAGTAGAATTCCCAGTGTTATATTTATAAAAAATTATAAAGAAAATAATACCTTAATATAAAGCTTTACATTTTCTATAAGTTATCATGGATTGCTAAAAAATAAAATTCTCAAATAAATAAAATAATGTTCTGGAAAAGAAAAATATGAGTACTTATAAAAGTTGGAAAAAGATATGAAACATAAAGTTCTGATAGCACTGTTGTGTAAAATGACTCTTGTAGAAAACAAGAAAACCCAAAAGGAGAAAAAAATCATAGATCTATTTTATAACAAAATCAATAATAAAGAAAATGTCTGTAAAAGCAAAGAAAACAATTTTGAGAGTTGAGTCAATCCATAAAAGAATGGGAAAAAGTTTAAGAAAATTAACTTTTCACATAAAGATATACTTTATGTGAAAGATACACATATGATTCACATCTTACATGGATAAAATGTGTAGTTGCTACAAGCAGCTGACTACTTAGTACTTTAAAACTTAGGTTCCCTCTCATCTCTGACTCTGCTTCATTCAAGACTTTATGACACATTATTTAAAAATCACCACCTACACTTTCTCATGTATAAGAGTAAAACAACATGAGTTTTACACAAGATTATACAAATACACAAATTTTTACACAGACTAGAAAAGATTTTCAACTCTGTTACTAAAAATTGTAACTTGGAAATGAGAAAAAAATTAAAGGCATTTTTATATTAGAAATCATTTCAGAGGTTTAATGTACTTTGTAATTTATCAGGTAAGTGTATTTTAACCTGCATACCAAAGAATAAAAGAAGCAGCTCCATATCATGAATTCAAAGAAAAAATTGTCAGTGGATTTTGATCATACTTACAATAAAACGTGAACTCCCTATCTGTTTCACGGGTTCTTAATCAGACCCAGTCTTCTCCATTTTTCAAGTTATGCTTCTCTCTTGTTCACCACCCATTTACAAAACCAGTTTTCTCCAGAGAGGGGGTGTCTTAATTATGCCAATTGTATTCTTTCCTTAGAAGTTTGCTAGATATCTCTCATTTCTTTAACTGACTGATTCCTGGCCACATAGACATCAGGCCTTCCCTAGTCACCTGTTCTAAAGTACTATGTACAGCTCTGTCAGATCACCTTATTTTAATCCTGTTTTAGAATGCTCATCACTACCTGATGTTTTGTAGTGTCCCTATTTCTTTTATCTTATTTATTGTTTACCTCCAGTCCCTTGAATTAATATCCAAGAGTAGAAGAACCTTGCCTTTGTTGTTTGTTACAAGTATTCAAAGAACCTGGCAAAGAATTGGTTTTCAACATATGGACATTAAATAGCCATAGAGAAACTCCAAGATGAACACTTGTTGGTATTAGAGGTTCAGAGAGGTACACTGTTTGTGCAAGGTACATGTGAAAATTATCACAGACATTAGAACTATTTAATGCTCTTACTGGTTTTATTATTACAATTCACAACTTTACATTTAGACTGACTGCAGAGGGCATAAATCTACTCTATTTTTATAAAGTTGAGAAATATTTCTAGAGTTCTAAGAAAAAAGCAGGCATCCTGCTGACCAAATAAAAAGAAATGCTGAGAAGTTGATCTGGATCAATCATTCCCTCAAGTATAAAAGAAGGAAAAAGTGTATGTACAATATAACAGAAATAACTTTTCAGTCAGAAAAATTCTAAAGGCATCGAAAACTCCAGATTGGGGAGTGTCATTGGGAGGAGTTAGATTAAAAGCCGTGTTCATTTTTATGACTCCAAAGTATCATTTCTAGTAATTTCAACAGAGGCATTAATGAGGGATTGAGCAAAAAGGAACAAGGACTCATGGGCATGGACCACAGTGTGGGGATTGCTGAGGGGAGGAGGTCTAAGGGGAATAAATGGTAATAGAAAAATACAATAAAGATGAGATTTTGAAAAGCAAACAAACAATTGTCACAGTTTCTGGTAGATATTTAAAGACAACAGTCCATACAGTTGGGTCTTTATACCCAAGGTTCTTTATCCACTTAAGTCGTGGATCAAAAATATCTTTTAAAAAAGTTCTGTTGTTGTTATTGTGTTCTATGTAGTTTGACTGTAGGCTACTATGTAGCCTAGTTTGACTGTAGGCTACTATGTAGCCTTGTCTTTTCTGAACATGTGTACACATTTTTTCTTGTTACTATTTCCTAAATAATACAGAATAACAACTGTTTACCTAGCATTTACACTGCATTAGGTGTTATAAGTAATCTAAAAATGTTTTAAAGTACATAGCGTGAGGGAGAGAGGTTATATGCAAATTCAATATAATTTTAAATAAGAGACATGAACACTTGCAGACTTTGATATCCATTGGGGGCCATGGAACCAATGCCCTGTGGACAGCAAGGGCCAACTGTACTTGGAAAAACTGTCCACTAAGAAGGCCAATAAAAACAGTCATCTTTCATGTCAGCAAGAAACAAAAGTATAAGCAGTTATCCACTTATTTTCAGGGGAAAAAAGAGAAAGTGACCAATTAATAAAACATTTTAAGTTAAAGTATGCATTTTTATGACTTTTAATCGTTTATAAAACCAAGTTATTTTTACCCTCAAATTTAATATTAGTTCTTTGTAAAAGTATTTGTAATTTCTCCTTTAAAGAAGGGGGTCCTCACTTCAGCTATGGCATATAAAGAGTTTGGAAATTTCCATTCTTGTTCTACAACAAGAAAAAGCTAGACAAACACACAAGAAGAACAAAATCAATGCCTGTTTGTTTTTTGTATATTTGGACCTAACATAGAACTGAAGTCTCAGGGAAAATAGCCACCGTGAAATGTGGTAGATCTAGAGGTATAAAATCCAAGATATTATTAACCTGGAACAGAAGTTAATGGACACCCTCAGCCAGGAGGAACAGTAGGAAATGATGAGTAATTTTGACTAATTCTCGGAATCTGAGTACAGACTAGGGTGCAATTGAGAAAATTCCAGAGCAAAAGTCACAGTGGAACATCACAATTTCATTATTTTTCCCCTCCACTGGGTTATTATGGTAAAGAGTCAAGAATTGCCCTTCTTGTGGCCCTGGAAGTGGGAAGAGAAGACCAGCCACTGTGAAACACTTCCAGATTCTTCTCCTCCTCTGTCCGGCAGGGGAAGCCGTCACCAGTGAGCAATACTGAAATCTTACCCAAGGTAAGGTAAGTGAACTGCACCCCATTCTAGCCTGGGACAGCCTTCCTCACTCAACTGAGGGGGGAAATCCATAGTCAACAAGGGAGAGAGAGTCATGTAAACAGACTAGAATGCTTTAGAAAAGGAGAGCAGTGATAGGAAGGAGAAGAAACGAAATACTCCTTTAGATGAGACAGAAGTATTTGTAAAATCTACACTCTGAAACAGGCTCTATGTGAAACTGTTACTTACTAGCTTGGATCACAGCTGCAAGACCCAGGCCCTCCCTAAGAGGCAGGGCAAAGCAAAGTTCCAAAGCCAAGAAGGGAGGGCAGAATAAAGACAGTAGAAGAATGTGAAGTCCTTGGTACCCATAATTACAGCAAACATTGGATGCATCCTAACTATTAGATTAACATAAATTCTCACATTAAAGATTTATTTATCAGTTCCTATTACCCAATATAACTTGGCTAGCTTTCAACAGAAATTTACAAAGTGTATCAAAAGGCAGGAAACCATAAAGCCTGCAGGGGCAAAGCCTGAAGGGACAAAGCCCTGCGTGCATATCTGTTTAAAAATGGAATGTAACTGTGCAAGAAGAAAAGAAAATATCTAAAGCCAATTTTAGCTATTTTTTTTCACTTTAAGTTTAGTTAACAAATAGTTACTTTGTTCCTTATTTGAATCAGAGGTTCTATTTGTTGATTTAACAAAAGCTATAGATTAAGACATAAAAAGTCAAGGCACCCGCCCTTGAATTGGTTACACTCAAGTGAAAAGAGACATAATTAGGTGGCAGATAATGCTGAGTCTTAAGGTATATAATTAGGCAGGTTCTGAAATGGGGGGGTGGGTGGGGCAACAATCTGAAAAACAAAACTAAATGTGTCATTGCTAGTAGTGACTGGCATTGCTAGTGCCAGGTAACAATAGACAAAGGCGAACTCTTCTTCATATTCTGGTTTTTCAGTCTCCCTTAATAGAGTCCATCAGGGATCCAGCTGGCAAAAGAGAAATAGAACAGCCCCAATCCACATCACAAAGAAAAGGGTAGGTTTCAAACTGTGAGACAATAGCTTCAAAGCCAGCATACCGTGCCCCCACACTTCAATGGCTGTTTAGCATCTATGCATTCCTTGTATTGTGAAAACAAAACAAAACAAAAGTGCCTTTATTAACCAGATGTAACAACGCTTCACACAAGCAAAGGTGCTGTCATTGCCTTCAAAGTCCAAACACTCGCTCCTACCCATCTCTGGCTGACACATGTGGCAGCCATCCCTACATGGTGATAATTGCTCTGGAAAGTTAGTAACAGTCTGCTTTTTGTAGCCTAAGCACTAAGTTATAAAATTAAATACCCGCAACAATCCTTTCATAAAATAATGAGAAAAAAAGGGGAAGAGAGAGAGAGAAGGGGAGGGATAAAAGGAGTGGGTGAAGAACAGGGAAGATGATGATGAAGACAAAAAAGAAGACAGTATATGTATACAACTAAATATTAAACAAGCAAGTACCATATGATCTCACTTATAAAAGGAATCTAACAAACAAAATGAATTAATGAGCAAAATAGAACCAGAGGCATAGAAACATGGAACAGACTAACAGCAGCTAGAGGGGATGGGACAGGGAAGTAAAGGTGGAAGGAATGGGAAGAGACTAATATAGAACATGTGTGAGTGACCCGTGGACAGGGACAACTGTCCCCATGGGGACTGAGTTTGTCTATCTTAAGTTTATTTTTGTATATGGTGTAAGTTGGTGGCTGAGTTTCATTTTTCTGCATGTAGCCATCTAGATCTCCCAACACCATTTATTCAAGAGGCTGTTGTTACTCCATTTTATGTTTCTGTTCCCTTTGTTGAGTATTAATTGACTGTAGAGACTTGGGTTTATTTCTGGGCTCTCTATTCTGTCCATCGATCTATGTGCCTGTTTTTATGCCAGTACCAGGATGTTTTGATTACAGTGGCCTTGTGATATAGTTTGATGTCAGGGATTGTGATCCCTCCTACTTTGTTCTTCTTTCTCAAAATTGCTGCAGTTATTCAGGGTCATTAATAAATGAGCATTATTTGGGTTTTATATAAATTTTTGAAATGTTTGTTCTATCTCTGTGAAATAAGTCATTGGTATTTTAATAGGAATTGCATTGAATCTATAAATTGTTTTGGGTAGTATAGACATTTGATGATGTTAATTCTTCCAACACATGAACGGGGTCCATGTTTCCATTTGTTTGTGTTTTCCTTAATTTCTTTCTTCAGTTTTATGTAGTTTTCTGTATACAGGTCTTTTACCTCCTTGGTTAGGTTTATTCCTAGGTACTTTATTTTTCTTGTTGCTGTATCAAATGCAATCCTTGTTCCTAATTTCTGTTTCTGATATTTCATTGTTAATGTACAAAAGTGTCTTTGATTTATGTTTATTGACTTTGTATCTCACTGTTTTGGCAAATTGACTTATTAGATCAAGTACGTTTTGATGAAGTCTATAGGATTTTCTATGTACACTATCATGTCATCTACAAACAATGACAGTTTTGCTTCCTTCTTTCTGATTTGGATGCTTTTTATTTCTTTATCTTGTCTGATTGCTCTGGCTAGGACTTCCAATACTATGTTGAATAGTGGTGAAAGCAGATATTCTTGTCTTGTTCTTGATCTTAGTAGGAAAGCTTATAGTTTTTGCCCATTGAGTATAATGTTGTAAGTCTTTCACATATTGTCTTTATTATTTCAAGGTGTGCTCCCTCTATTCCCACTTTGTTGAGTATTTTAATCATAAATGGGTACTGTACCTTATCAAATGTTTTTTCTGCATCTACTGACATGATTATGTGATTTTTGTCTTTGCTTTTATTTATGTGATGTGTTACATTTATTGATTTGCAAATGTTGTGCTATCCTTACATCCCTGGATGAATCCCACTTGATCATTGTGTGTGATCTTTTTAATGCATTGCTGGGTGCAGTTTGCCATTTTTTTATTGAGGATTTTAGTGCCTATGTTCATCAGTCATATTGGCCTGTAGTTTTCTTTCTTAATTGTGTCTTTATCTGTTTTTTGGATTAGGATGATGCTGACATCATAAAAAGAGTTTGGGATTCTTGCCTTTTCTTGGATTTTTTTGAATAGTCTATGAAGTATAGGGGTTAGCGCTTCTGAAAATGTTTTGGAAAATTCTCCTGTGAAACTGTTTGGTCCAGCTCCAAAATATATAAAGAACTCATATGACACCATTACAGAAAGACAAACAACCTAATTAAAAAGTGGGCAAAGGACCTGAACAGACACTTGTCCAAGAAGAGCATACAGAGGGCCCAGAGATATATCAAAGGATACTCAACATCACTAGCCATCTGAGAGATGCAAATTAAAACCACGATGAAATACCACTTCACACCAGTCAGAATGGCCATCATAAACAAAGCAATGAACAACAAGTGCTGGCAAAGTTTTGGAGAAAAGAGAAACCTAGCACACTGGTGGTGGAATTGTAGACTAGTACAGCCCACTATAGGAAACAATATGGAATTTTCTCAAAAAACTGAAAGTGGAACTGCCTTTTGGAACCTGGCAATGCTTCCCCCCTTTTCATCATTATCCCCTTACACATCCCCTCTGGTTACTGTCAGTTTGCTCTTAGCAGCTGTCAATTCTGCTGCTAAGATTATACCCTAAGAATCCTGAAATACCAATCCAAAAGAACCTATACACCCCAATGTTCATAGCAGCACAATTTATAATAGCCAAGTGCTAGAAGCAACATAAGTGCTCATCAGTAAATGAGTGGATCAGGAAACTATGGTACATTTACACAATGGAATTCTATGCAGCAGAGAGAAAGAAGGAGCTCCTACCCTTTGAGACAGCATGGATGGAACTGAGCATTATGCTAAGTGAAACCAGCTAGGTGGTGAAAGAGAAATACCATATGATCTCACCTGTAAGTGGAACCTACTCAACAAAACAAACAAGCAAGCAAAATATAACCAGAGACACTGAAATTAAGAGCAAACTGACAGTAACCAGAGGGGATGTGTAAGGGGATAATGATGAAAAGGGGGGAAGCATTGTCAGACACATGTATAAAGGACTCATGGACAAAGCCAAATGGGGGCAACTTGAGGGTGGGATGATGCAGACACCGGCCTGCAGTGTCAGCAGCATCATGGATGAGATACGAGGCAAATTTGCACGGACTACAGGGTCCTGTGGAGGAAAAAGGACAGCACGGCTACTCCCTTAAGGGGAGAGCGGGCAGACCCTTGCCTGGACTGGCTTTTATTGGGTTCAATTAGCACAGGAATACAGGTAAATCTCATTAATCATTGTCAGGTAATAAGGATCAAACAATAGCTAGCATACAAAGAACTATTTGGGCTTATTCTGAGTCAGGGCCTGTTAGCTAAAAAGGCTACAAAACTTTGGGAAACAAACTCATTTCCTGCTTGGACCCTTATCATTTAATTGAGAGCACTCTTGCAAAGCAGGTTTTGCAGGATTTTTACATAACCTCTCTCAGGCTTGATCACCAGGGGAACCCACCCTTTCCAGCACAGGACTGCAACTCCCTCTGTCATTGTTTCAGACTTAAGTCAGGCAGTGGAAGTAAGGCAGCCAAGAGATTAGGAGACTTCTCACAGACAGACTGAGGACCCAGGCTATGTCAAAGCCAAGGGGTGAGGGTCCATCACCCCTTTTCTCCATAGCTTCCCAAGTCCTTCCCTGGGGGCTCCACGTGATTGTGCCTTTCCTTAGGTTGATCCTCCCTTGAGGAATCTTACCAGTCATTGGCTAACTGATCAAGCATTGGAAGCCTGTTATGGAAAAAGGAGCAGAGGCCGCACTCTTGCCAGGGAGATAAGCTTTGTTTCCTTAGCGGCTTATAGTGTGAAGGTCGCTGACTCAGCCTTAGCCATGGGGGGTGGTTACAGCTCCTGAAACCGGGCTGGGCAGTTCTCAACAGTGGAAGGTGGAGAGAGTTGGAATGGAGAGGAATTGTGGGACAAAATAAAATGGAAATAACTATACTTGAACAACAATAAAGAAAATTTTTTTCAAAATCTGCTATCACCTAAAGTTTTTGTTTCTGTGCCATGTCTCAAAGTCCTAGTTTATATTAAATTTCCCTTTCTGTTATGCATTTGCCTTCAGTCAGAACTAAGCCAGTCAGAGTTTTTGCCTCATGGAGAGATTTATATGTCCGTGTTTTGAATACATAGTGATTTTGAATATTTGCAAAAATTTTAATATTTCATATTGAAGTAGCAATGTGTCAGTAAGACTGACTCATTTAAAATTTTGTTTTTTCTTCTACCATATACTTGGTGGCTATAAAAATATGCCTGTTCAATTAGATGGATTTTACTAATGAAAAATTTATAATGAGTTAATTTTACTTTTTTGCCTTCTTTTCTTGCTTTATAGTTACAAAATTAGGTTTGGAGATCACAAATAACTTAAACCAATTAGTAACATGATGGAAGAAAAATATTAAGGTAAGGTCCTTCCTCTTTTAATCAAACACACTTCTTTTCTTACAATGATTAAAATGTTACTTATTTACATAAACAAAGATCATTTTGTACCTTTTCTAATTCTATTCCAATAAAGGGAACCCAAAAATGCTGATACAATCTTTTTATTTTTAGTTTTCTTCTTTTTAAACATTCTTTTATGTGACAGGTCAACATCATAGGTCATAGAACAAGATTCCAAAGAAATGAAAAAGTGAACTATATTTAATTTCCGTGGCCTTTAAGGCTTCTCAGAATTAAGGTCAACTCATAAATCCTGTAGGTACATATTACCTCCTTCACCTGTTGTTAAAACAAGCCCACAATCTACTTTCTTTTTTTCTTTGATACCCTAGAGAGATTGCTGTCACTGCACTTTTTATTTTTTTATTCCTCACTAAAGTACTTATTTATTTCAGAGAGAGACAGACAGACACAGAGAGAGAGACCCATTGATCAGTTGCCTCCCGCATGCACTCCAGTGAAGGATTGAACTTGCAGCCTAGGTATGTGCTCTGACTAGGAAGTAACCTGCAAACTTCTGGTGTATGGGATTTTGCTCCAGCCAACTGAGCCACCTGGCTAAGGCAACTATCACTGAACTTTCTGTTCCCTGGCTCCTCACTGCATTATGACTTTGAGATCTAGAAAGGAAATGATTACTCCTCTCAACCACAAGAAAATTGCAACAGACTATTGGTGGAGCCACTCTCAGAGAAAAAAGGGTCTATCACATGTTCTATCGGCTGCCCCTACACCATGCAACAATCATTCGCCATAAACAAGACAAGCAGCACCCCTCAAAGAGAGGCCTTGTAAATGTGCAGGTAGAAAAATGAAGTAAAAACACATTCAAGGGAAGAAATTTAAAAAATATATATTTTGAGTCTATATCTTCTAAGGGTCTGTTAAGGTGCCTTGTAAGATGCATGGATTCATTGAACAATTGTTGATAAGGGATGGTTTGACATACTGTATGGTGAAAGCATTAAGTTCATATTTTGTAACAATCTATTTCTTTTATGGGTGGGGGGGTGTGTGGCAAAAGAGAGATAAGCCATAAAATCATACAGTTCTATGATAGTCACACTTAAACTCACATATATTCAATTCCTTAAAACTATGCCTGAGTGACAGTTTATTCCATATATTTGCATATTTGAAACCAGTCATATAAAAAGGATTTATGGAAAATGTGTACCTTTTATCAATGGTTGAGTTTTCAAATTTATTTCCCATATTTTAGCTTAGATTCATGATAAAGAAAACATACAAGCATCCCTGAATATTTCGATTTTTTAAAAAAATGCAAATTGATAATCATACTTGAATTGAGAATTCACACATTTCCTATAAGCATTTAGGTGAGAACAACTTTGGGTAGAGTACCCTCAGTTAAATAAGAAAGGGTGAAATTAGTTCATAAAGCATATCATTGCTTGTTTCTTATTCTTTCTTCAGTAACCTGACTGAAGATCCTCTTACAAGAAATTTATTCTAATTAGTGGAAGATAAACAACACATTACTGACATCTCAAGAGAGCCACTTCTACTGTTTTCTGGAAGGGAATGTATTTGATAAACTTACGATTATATGCTCATGAGATACCAACAGCACTACCAATTCCAATCCTGCTCAGCCAGGTGTTTTCTTTAATACCCAGGTGTCAATATTGATCTGTCTGCTTTTGGAATCTCACATTCAGTTAAGTGACTGGTTTAAAAGAAATCCTTTAAATTTAATTTCTTCGTAACTAAATGATAATCATTGTTGTTTTTCAACAGACATTTCTGGTTCTCTTTCAAGGCCAAAAGTAGAACTGACTTTCCTGTTTGCGTATAATTTCGGGCAAACCTAAGGAAGCAAATGTGATTTGTGCCACTTCTTTGGAAGGGGCTTTAGAACCAGCGCACGAGTTTGTGATGCTGTCTTCCCTGGTCCTAGATGCAGCCTCTTCTTTCCTGGGCCCTGTTGTAAGTATAGAAAGTACAACTTCCTGACAACTTGTTTTGAGAACATATAATTAGTAGGAAATAAATTTTGGTTGTATTTAGCCACAGAAATTCAGGGGCTATTTTTTTTTCTCCCCAAGGTGTGAACTATAGACTAATCTTTCTAGGAAGCATGTATAAAACTTATTTTCTTGGTTTCGTTTTGGAAAACATCGACATAAAATTTGTAGTTTCCTTTTCGGTGCTATTGTTCTGAGCTTTGGCTATAGAATGGGCATAAGGGATAAGGAAGAAATGAAAGGACAGGGAGTTGGAGTAGGATGAGAAAAGACAGAGACACCAGGGAAAATATGCCAGTACATTTTTTAACAACTTCAGTAGAGTTAGTAAGAACTTATGTCATCTCCTGTGACCACAATGACTGAGAAAGCCTGATGCAATATTCAACCATCAGCTCTCACTTCCTCTTATCCCTGAATACTTTCTTCTTACATGACTGTTGCCACTGTGGATGTTTTTGAACATTAAAAAAAATCCTGCCATCCTTATGACCGTGAGGAATTAAATTCAGATACACCTTACTTGGTAACATTATTTCAGTCCTCCAAACCACAGTAAGTGTTTATAAGGTTACTAACCATGTAGAATGCAATGTCTTCTCAGGAGGAATTACCCATGTTTCTTTTGGATGTTTATACCAGTTTACATTTTTCTGCAGAGAGAAAGGGAGAGAATTTGCTAGGTTATAACAAATATTAAAACAATGCTCAATGGGAAAATAAAAGTCAAGTTGAAAAGAGACCTTTGCTGAAGCTGAATTCAGCATAGACTTGATGGGCTTGAGGAACAGGGACCTAGCAGTCAACTAAGCCAAGGATTATACAGAATTTTACATATGGTAATTGCCTTGGAACAGCAGGACTCTACTAGTATCCTTTGTCTCCTCCTCCTTCCACTGATGTTTCTCGGTCCTGCCACTGCTAAAGGCCACTGATAAAGGCCACAGCAATGTCCTGGCATAGCCCTTCCGTCTCCCGAATTAAAGTGCTGCCACTTGTCCGCAATGTGTCCAGTAAGTACATTTAGTTTCCAGTTCTTCCCTTCAAGATATTGTTTTTAGTTTTCTAACTCACAGAGTAATGCTAAGTTATTGGTCAAAATAAATAGTAAGCAATGTTATTTTTAACCTGAAAGGCAGTAACTGTAAAGGTTAGAGAGCAACCTCATTTAACCATATTAAAACTGTATCTGAATACCAGCCTTACTACTTAAAAGAATCTGCACTTTGAACAAGGACTTAAACTTTTTAAGTTTTAGTTGAATTATCATTTTTAGAATGGTGTTGAAAATGATAATGATGTTCGTAGTATTACCTCATTTTTGTCAAATAAATAAAGAATAATATTTTAGTAGCAGTATGTTCCAAATATTTTAACATACTTACATTAAAAAAATAGTGGAACACACTGATATATAATATAAATATGAATAATATAATATAAATAATACAAGTATATACTTACACACATTTTAAATTTTATTTAAGTGCAAATTAAAAAAAGCATCAACTGCATCATTTACTAAATTTAAAAACCATATATAACCTCAACAATTTGTAAAGTATGATGTTAGTAAAGTGATAACAGCTGATTCTTCTTGTTGTTGTTGTTATTATTATGATGCTATTATTATGCCAATCATTGGCATGTCCCTAGAGTTTTATATTTTGAAACAAGTATGATTCTGCACTACCAGAACTATAAAAATTCAGGAGAAATCTATTCTTCTAAGGCAAATTTAAACCTCATTTCTTCCCACCTGTTGCTCTACTTATCTGTTCATTGTATGTACTTCACTCAGAGGTGATCTTCACCTAATACTACCTGTGCCAGATCAACTTTTAAGGTGGCTCCCATGACTCTGCCTCCTGTCATTCATGGCCCTTGAATGTCGGGGACCCATGGCTTGTTTTTAACCAACAGAATATGGCAGAGGTGACAGAATGTATGTGATTATATATATGTGACTATGTGAGCATATTACATAAAATCATAATGCCCACCTTGCTGGAGTTTCTTTCCTTTGTTAGTTTTGAAGAACATGTTAAGGTGTCCTACACTGTAAATAGCTATGGGCACCTTCTAGGAGCTGATGATGGCCCCCCAGTTAGCAGCCATCAAGGAGCTTCATGAAGACCTCAGTCTTGAAACCTCAAGGAACTGAATTCTGTCAGGATTATGAGCGCTCCTCCTGAGTTGTTTTTCAGTAAGGCAGCAGATGAGACTGCCCTCTTGGCCGCATCTTGATTTCAACCTTGTAAATTCTTCAGTAGAAGACGCCGAGAATCCATGACCAAATTCCTGATCCGTAAACACTGCGACATGTTAGCAATGTTTCCTTTTAGGCCACTATATCTGTGATGATTGTTACTCAGCAGCAATAGGTAGCGGATATGCTATCTTCCCCTTAGTTACTGGTTGGCTAATATGACGACCATACATGAATGTGGGCTCTTGAAAGCCTTGGTGGTGATCTATGCTAAACAATAAATTAACTCTTTTCATTTATCTTAGATAGCATTTGAAACACATTATTCTAGCATTTATTGCATTGACTTGTACTTGTTTTTTGTTCACATGTTATATTACTTCTCTATAAAAGAGAGGTGCTAGCATGTATTTTGCTGAGTATTGTAAGATGTAGCCATTTCACATTGCCAGGCAATTGATAAATGATAATGTCTTTCTGTATCTTAATATGATTTTCTTGAGGATAGGGACTTCTGATATATTTGGTTTTATATATCCTTACCTAATATATGGTACATGTTAAGTACTTAGAGTATATATTACTTTAATGAATATTAGATCTCATTGGTCAACTAATTTGGCAAGCTCTAAAAAATTTTTATTTAGATTTTTTTCTAAAGATTTTTACAATTTCCCTACCCATGCATCTCTTAATCATGAATCTGTAAGAAGCATGAATTGTTTTAAATGGAGGTTGGGGTGGATTGCAGGACTGTTGTATAAATATATTCAGTAATGTTTATATTAAATTGAACAAAACCATGTATGAACTTATATAGTATGCAGAGAAGCATCCTTTATATTTTTACCACATGAATGAAGAATGAAATAGACAACAATCTTCTTTTATAAGCTTGAACCTAAACAAAATATATCAAATAAAGAAAACGGTTAAAAGCAGCATGCTATCCTGACTTTGTCTTTCTCGTTTTTTTTCTTGACTTCATCCATTGAACTCCTTAATAGCTATATATAAATAAAATTAATAAAAAGGTTTCAATAATGAGTATGGCAGAAGACCAAATATATAAAAGTTGACAAGGCTCCAACCACAACTGAATGACTACCACATCATAAAATAAAATTCAAAGTGACATAAATCATCATATTTAATACATCATTGGTAAATATGACTTAGCACCATATTTTTAGGTCTATATTTAAAAATCTTGCTTCTAGTGTCCAGAAACATTACCATCTTTAATAACCAAGCCTCTAAATATGGTAAATGCTGCGATGGCACAATATTTTAACAGGTTGTTTGAGATAGTATTCCTTGAGATGAAGTAGTTTATCCCTACTGCTGTTTTTTTTATCATAAACTCATTTTCAAAATGAGCTAGAGTATTCATAGCTATTTTTTATCAGCTTCTATTTTTACCTTCCATGCAATCGTCAAATCGATTATATGTACTGCCATTCCAATTTTATTAGGTTCATTTTGTGTGACTCTGAATTTTTATTTCAAATTCTTTTATTGAAATCAGCAGCCTTATCATTTCATTTCATTCAAGAATAGAAAGACCATCATTTTACAGAGTTGGCAGCTTTTCTGCTTCAGGGATTCTGTAATTTAGTTGGCTACTCTAATAGGGTTATATTTCATGTATGCAGAATACACCCTTTATGCTTGTGTTACTGCTTAGAGAACTCACAGATAAAATAAAGTAGTTTATTGCATAAGAGATGGCAATTGCATTGACCATTAACCTCAATAACTTTCAAAGGCTGTAGAGAAGCTTATAAAACACTTTGTAGTCATGTTAAAATGGTACACATTTGTTCAAGCTGAAACACTGATATCTAAAGGAAAGTATGATATTCTCTCTTCTAGTGAGCAGACCTAATATTCAAAATCAAGTGTATTTTGTATCTGTCTATAGGAACGTGAAAATTTTTGCCTAGGATTGCCTAAGGGATTTTGGCTTACACATTCTACTATAAGTGTATCTGAATAATATTTATTTATACGATGCAATGTTAATCAAATTTTAGTTGTAATAAGATACAAATAAATTGTGTATAAATAGTAAGTTGCTTTTGTTTTCATGCAAATATATTAAAAATGTATACATACATGCATTTTTTATGCAACTGGTAAATTAGATAATTATAATCAAATAAGTATATTACTTATACTTGTTCAGCACAAAATAAGAAACCATTAAAACTGTAATTTTCTTTAGACCACTAATTTCCATTTAATTTCTGCTTTGCAAGCAAAAGCACATATTATGTTCCAATTGCTTTACAAGAAAAATAATTAAAAGTATATACATTTTAAAATTACATTATTTTCTGAATATAGTACTTGTGCACGTTAACTCAGTATTTTCTTTTAGAGCTGTGTTAAAATAGCTTCAAAGCAAAACTTAAAATGATATCAAACTGATTAATAAAAAAAACTATTATTGAAAGTAAAGTCAATGAATAATAAGTAGTTTACAAATGGAGAATGTTAACTAGAAGTATGAGAAAGCAAATACTTACAAATGTGCCTTATAGAGCATCACTATTTTTTAATTTGTAGATTAGGTTACACTCAAAGAAGTCTGTTTAGAAGACATGGACAAAGGCAAAGCAGAGTAGGATCAGGGGAGGGAGGTGGGGATGGCTGGGGTGGGGGGAGTAGTGGGAGGAAAATGGAGATACTATACTTGAACAACAATTTTTTTAAAAGACAGAATAATTTATATAATGGAAACTTTATATTATTTTTTAGAATAAAAAAATAAATTTGTCAATGACCAAGAAATAAAAGTACAGAAAAGCAGCATAAATAAATAAATATCTTACTTGCCTAATTAATGTGTAATTCTCAAATCTAAACTACCTCAAAAGTCTGAATAAAATGTGACATTATAGCAAAGAAGAAGCAAGAAACCAAATGAAAAAGTAATGTTAAAGCTGCCTTTAGGACATTTTTAATAAGATCCTTGGTTTTTAAAAGCTTCTTTGTGAATAAAGGATAAGACTGAAACCAAAATAGGTTTCAAATTGTAATTTGATATTGGGCCTAAAATTAATTTGCTCAAAGGTCTCTATCATAGATGAATGGGTGAACTCTAAAATCCATTCAATCATCAAGAAAGAAATGACAAGAAAAAAAGAAAAACTGTCTGCTCCAGCCTTATCCCTCCATAGAATAAAAGAAAATTCACATAAGATATAACATTCCTTTGTGTGGCTTTGAAGATTTAATGTATACTATGGTATGGTAGAGGGAAATCCCAAGCAAAAGAAGTAATTCAATGTATGTTATCTTTTGACAGACCAACTCCATAATGGCAAGATTTTTTGATGTGTGGTTATTGACATACCCCCACAATATAAAATATTCCCAGCCACATGGCAGATGCTCAGTAAATATTTAATGAATAAATGAATAAATTTAGTCCCAAATAAGGGTGAAAGAGACTAGAAAACCCAATACATATTTTTATAAGAACACAATCTCAACAAAACCTTTTATTATTCTCACAGAAAAAGCATGAACGAATCTGTTTAAATTCAAAAATTAAAAACAAAGACAAATTCCCAGTATTCAGTATTAAAATTTTAAGATGTCAGATAATAAATTTATTACATAATATGATAAACATAGTTGAATATTTAAAATTATGAAAGATGAAACTAAAATGTAAAAAATAAATGTTTAAACAAGCAAAAATTAGAAAGCATGTTCTAGAAGGTAAGAAAACATAATCCTTGCAATTAAAACTAGGAAAAGCTTCTGTAATGGTCATGTGGGACAAAAATGCTGAGAACAAAGAAGCAGGCTTTACAACAAACCTTAATAACAAACCTGAAAAACCTTGATTTGACTGTGGGGAGGAGGATGTGCCAAACCCAGGAACCCTGCCTTGTCTTCCTGGTGAATTATAGACAAAGATCCCTTCTTGGTCTTGGCAAGGAGAGGGAAGAGAAATCATTGTGAAGTATGTCTGAGCATCTCCATAAGAAAGTCTACTATTCAGGGTAAAACTTCCATCAGGGAGAAGAATTCCTCCCATTTTTGCCTTTTCTA